TCCTCTTCTTCCATCTACACCCAACGTGAGCAAACAACACTCTTCGCGGAAGCCGGTGGGCTGATATGCGTAACACGTGCCCGAGCCATCGGAGCCGGGTGCGTGAAATAACGGTGCTGAACGGTTCATTTCCTTTTCCTGTGTCGTAAACAAGGCATCGAACACGCTCGTTGCTAACTCGGTGTTCCCACCAGATGTGAGTTAAATTGCGAAGGCACCGGTTGTCGAACGTAACTGGCCACTTTATGTCCGTTGATCTAAGGGACCTGGTTTCACAACCGTACAGTAGGGTCGGACGTACCGTTACATTGTGCACTCTACCCTTCAGGGCGAGAGTAATGTCGCGCCGCCGCCATAAGTGGCGAAGACTAGCAAAAGTACTTCGAGCCTTTGAAATACGGTTCGTGATCTCATATGCAGTACCAAGGGCGCTGATACAACTTCCCAGGTAGTTGAGTTTTTGGACGACTTCTAACTGATCCCCAACAAGGGTCAGCGTAAGAGGTGGTCCAGACCAATTGTAGAGGAACGCTTTTCAATTTGATTGTACAAAGCAAATCCCGAAGTGACGACAGCCAGTGCTAATTTGTCCAGTGGAGTTTGGCACGTTTGGGAGTTGCCACAGATTAGGGAAATATCATCAACATATTCTAAGTCAAGAAGTCATTTTCCTGGGAGCAAATCCACGCCTTCTAACTCGTGTCCTGTGAACGCAATTTCCATGATTTCGTCAATAGCGAAGTTGAAGAGGTATCCTTGTCTCACACCGCTAGATACATTAAAGCGCGACGACAGCTTGCCATAAGCCCTCACTCTGCCCGAGCTACACGCGTATTATGATCGGATAATATTTACATATTTCTCAGCTACACCTTTCCTGAGTGAACAGTCCCAAACTGCACGTCTGTCCACTGAATCGATTGCACCTTTGATATCGAGGAACACGACAACGGTGGGCCGCCAATATGTGTGGCGTTGCTCCAACAAATGACGCAAAGTGAAGATGTGGTCAATGCAGCCACGACCTCGACGAAACCCGACTTGCTCTTCACGAATATGGATTTTCCGAGTGTCAGTCAGTCTGTGCAGGATGATAGAGGCAAGCAATTTGGAGGTGATGGAGATCAGACTGATTCCTCTATGGTTGCGGCATTCCGATGGTGAGCCTCCCTTGAAAATTGAGACTATGACGGAGCGGCTCCAGTCGGTTGGGACAGTTTTCTGCTCCCACAGTTTCACTATTAACTCCGAATTTGAAGTGGGCTGGAGGTAGATCATCTGCTCCAATCTCACGTTCGACGTCAGAGCGAGAGAGTGGATCCAAAGGGACAGCCTAGGGAGATGGGCGATCAGTGGCCGGCGAGACATCTAACAATTCCCACCGATTAAATTGCCTGTCCTAGAGCTCAGGACAACGCTCCAAGCGTTTTGACAAGTTGTGAATAGCTTGTCCACTCTCTTCACGTATAGCTACACCAACACAAGGTCTCCTGCTACCCGTTTCCGTATCAGACGGAATAACGTACGATGGTTACCAAGAGCAGCGGCCATTTTCATCTCTGATGCACGATGAGACCACCCGGATTCGAGGTCTCTCTTCAGGTTAGCACGGAGTTTTGCCCGGAGCTCTTTGCGAGTTTCATTGTGTTCGCTTCCAGTGGGAATATGCTGGTGATCATCGATACGTTTTAGAGACTATGAAGAGTCCCAACGTCCATGGGGGCGATAAGGCTTACCACATGAGGACTTTCCTGCTGCTAGTAAGGTTTGGTGAATTTGAGACCAGTGAGCTCTTACTCAACTCTCCTGACAGCGTACTTTGATAGGCATTCAGAACAGGTGGATTTGGTTTTGGATGATGTCAATGCGGTCGCAAGGTCGTCGTGCGCGTCCGCCAAAACGCATCCGCAGGTCAGCACATACAATTGCATGGTCTCTGTCCGAAGTCGCAGCACTGGGGGCCCTCGTTTGCTTTCCGTTACAAGAAACAGGATGCTCTTTAGGCAAGAGTCTAATTTCCTCCTTCGAAACTGACCTGACCTGAACATAAGTAACAGCATCTCAATTTATGGACGACCTAGTGAGACAGATGACAAAGTAAGCACGTACTTCTCAAGTTCGTTCGTCAGTTAATCCTTGAGGCACCGCACTGACATCGAGTTCAGGAGTTGCTGCTTGGTGTCCACTGTATTTTTCCGAACACATCAAGGAGAACGTTTAAAAATTTAACACGGCACACAACATATAAATTATCTAGGATATGGTCAGTATATCCTATTCCGGCTTTTAAATACCGGATCCTTCCCTACTCAGGTACTGCAGGCTGAGCCCTCGCCAGTCAATTGGTAGGTTCCATCGGAGTCTAAGGTCCGAGACACGATCACAACCCTTAGTCGTTTTCGAGCTGCAAGGTCCGAATTCACTTAAACCCGCACTATTTAAGGAAGACAGTAACGTCATCTGGAAAGCACTAATCTCTTTTTTTCAAATGGGTCTGGAAGGAAGAGGCCATATCAGTTAACTGAATGGAATCGATTATGGTGACAATGTACAAGAGGGGCAGTCGCAGAGATATGTTTTAACCACAGGGGTATTAGCATAACGCCAGTCGTGAAAAATTCACTGACCTCTATTCTCCTTCGTCGCTTAACCGCTGGATAAGGAGGCGAAGCACCCTTTCGCCCAGGATGAGGACCATAAATTCCCCCTGCGGCAGATACTCAAGCAACATCACACGTACCTCAGACCCACAACAGCTGTGTTCTTCGACTTCAATAGTACGTTCGACTTATTCGATCGGTCTATTCTGCTCGAAATACTTGCGCCGGAAAGCGTTCCCATGAAATAGGTGAACATTTTACTTGACATGTACTCGAACACCACAGGCCGCAGCCGGGTCTACCTTCACTAGTCGGATGTCTTTGCACGGCAACTGTCATTTTTCAGATTTGTTAAAGTTCCACCTTGTTGTTCAACATCGTCGTGGATTCCATCATAGAGTGTTCCTTTGCGGCATCGCATGATGCAGGCGTTGTGGTGTTGATAATGCTGACGACATCGTCTTGCTAGTTAAGCATGTTCGGGTGCTTCAGTCCACCCTGAACGACCTCCATAGAATGGTTCAGTCGTTTGGAATGCGCTTCGCGGATTCAAGAGGCAAGGTGTTGTTACAGGGCCACCACCCACTTGATAAGCCCCTAACTCTTGAGAGCAAGAAACTCGAGGTAGTTAATCAATTCGCTTACCTTGGCAGCTGCATCAGCAAAGATGGGCACATAACCACTGATGTTAGTCCAGGTGTCGCAAAAGCTAAAACTGCTTTCTTGTATCATCGACATCTGTGGCATCAGAATGGGATATATCTAGGCTTGTGAGGCCGTATTTACAGAGCAAAAGTGAGGGCCGTCCTACTTTTAAGTAAGGAGCTTTGGCTTCTTCGATCAGAGGATCTGTGAACTATTCAAACATTTGCTCGTCGCTGTCTGCAAAACAGTGCTGATATCAGATGGCACCGGCGTGTGCTTAAAGAGAATGCGGGTAGGCGAGTGGTAGGTAATGATAATTATGCCAGTTCCATCGAATAACCGATGGCATTGGATAAGTTGCGTTGGCTTTTGTACGCACTACCTTAGCCTGGTTACCGATTTTCGAAGACGGCGTTGTTTTATTTTCCATATGTAAGGTAGCGCTTGGCTCGTGGTAGACAGAAGTTAACTTAGAAGCGGGAAATAAAGACACTGACCATAAAAGGTGGTGCCGTCGATCCGTCTCCCCTTCCAGGTTGGAATGTATGTGACGCCTTATGCTTGGCTTGAGACTCTACATGACATGGCTGGCAGTCGGTACTAGTGGTGCGTCTGCGGTAGAGTCCAATTTGCTCTGCCTGTTTATAGTGGGCTTGTAACCTAGTTATCTCAGGGTAATAGCTGTTCATTACGCGAGACAGTGAAAGTCGCAAGAAGACTTCTCACCGTTGCCGAATTATTTTGTGACCGTGTTTTTGACAGGATGTGGGCGCCACGGTCCCGGATGTTTGCTTAGGCCACTGAGATAATACAATAGGTTCCCCTTCCTTCCATTGGATGATCATTCCGTGCGTCCCCGTGGTGGTACGGCACCGAAGCATCAGTTCGCCGCTGGTGCATAGCGTCTGCTTCCGTCGGTGCTGCTGTTGCTGCTGCTGCTGCTGCCGCCGCCGCCGCGGCCGCGACCGCCGCCGCCGTTGCTGCCGCTGTTTATGATATTGCCGGGATCCAGTAGTATAAAGACAGTGAGGGTAATAGACGAAACAGGGGATAACTGACCAAAACCGACCAAATCGAAGCCACAACATAAAAATGCGTGTGATTGCAGGCGGATATTCGTTGGAGAGGAATATCGAAGCAGTGCTTGACAATGCTCCAAAAATGAAGGAGCCGCGCTACCAAAAAGAACAGATTTGCAGTTGAGTAGGATTGTTGACGGTCATACAAAATAATTATGATAAATGCTTGTTGCCACGCGCAACCATCCCGTTTGCAACTCGGGTTGCTAGGCATTGGTTCCAACCCGTAGTTTTTGATTAACTTTCCGGAGGTATGTTCGCACCAACAGACGTAAGTCAATCATGCGATAGTTTCAGATGTTTTTGAACCCGACGAACTGAGCGGATGAGCATAAAATAAATTCAATATAGAGGTAACTGCTCTTTCCATATGGTGCAAACTATAAATGTACTCCACTAAATGTCCACCGTGAAAAGTGGCTGCACTTGTTCCTAAAATTCTTACTATAGGGACGCTGATTGAAACCATTAATACATTGATTCAGTTAGACAGCGGAATTTGAGAAAATCTGTGATCGGGAATTTGCTTTCATAATGTTTAAAGGCAAGGGAACCCTAACACTACTACCGCGTACAAAATTTCGCTTCCACCTAAGGATTTTGTACCGCTTCTCGGGAGCATGCGAATTCACTAATTTACTTGTTTCAAGGTTTTCCCCTTTCTTCTCTATTTTAGCGCGATTACATGCGAAGCAGGCACATTCATGAACTTCTACTTTGATCGTCACGCTATCCTGCTTTTCAGATCAGGATGAAACCGGGTTCTCTTCTTTGCATGACAGTTCTTGTTAAATATACTAACTAGTTAAACCATCGCGTGTTTTTGGAACCCATCCAGAACTGTGCTTGGTGACTCCAAGCTTCAATGACCAGAGGTGGCTGCATCTTAGCGAACATTCACAGTGAATTTAGTTGCATTAGATACAATCGGCGTTATTGTCACCGGTGGGACTGGGTAGAATAGCTGGATACCGGTTCGAACGGTATCAAGTTAACCCTCATTAATCAGGTTTGTTGACCTTTAACGGAACAGTATACGGTCAAGCCCAAGCACAAACATGTAGTCGAAGTATGCAGAGACCGTTTTTAAACCAACACCTAAAATCATGTAAACTCAGCACTTGGAATCAGACATAGGAATTCCTTGAAGTCTACTGACTTATTCAAAAGGACAATCCGCGAGTCACACTGAGCTCACGTTTTTCCACACCAGTCAGATCTCAGACCCCAATGCCGGAAATCTTCAGCTGACTCCGGGCGGTTTACCATCTAACTGCCCGCCATTGCTGGGTAAAACATTGAACGGGCTTTGATAAGTCTCTGCAGCTGGGTCGCACTTCAAGGAGTGAGCCTTACGTTCCCTTCTACTTGATATAACCAGCATGGCTAGGCTCCAAGCAGATACTGACAAAACACCAACTCATGTTTCTACTCAGTTGTTGTGGAGTTCTCCGAGCTGGGCAACTTGGTTGCAGACGTTTCGCCACCATTCGAGGTGGCATCTTCAGTGCGGGATTGGTAGCAGTGAAGTAGCAGTAGCTGGTAGAAAGCAAACCCAATAATAGATACTGTCGGTAACTACTCCGTTCCTTATATAGGCATATGAGGCTATTAATTTTGCCTCGATCTCATTGGTGAATCCTTGTGTTCAGCGGTTGTGCTCGAGTCAATGTCATTGGCTGCGGAAATGTTGATGCGATGTGGTTTGGCTTATCGCACTCGGATTGGTGCAGGAGATGTGGGTGAGTAGTCTGGGCTCATATTGCCCATGCTGTTCATTGTGCCTGTGTTGCAGCCAATGACATTGACTCGAGCACAACCGCTGAACACAAGGATTCACCAATGAGATCGAGGCAAAATTAATAGCCTCATATGCCTATATAAGGAACGGAGTAGTTACTGACAGTATCCATTATTGGGTTTGCTTTCTACTAGCTACTGCTACTTCACTGCTACCAATCCCGCACTGAAGATGCCACCTCGAATGGTGGCGAAACGTCTGCAACCAAGTTGCCCAGCTCGGAGAACTCCACAACAACTGAGCAAGCCTCCCGAGCTACCAATATTCCAATTCATTTCATGTTTCTACGACAACGAGCCTTGGATTCCGTTCACATGTGGGCATTACTCAACAGTTTATTCGTGACTACTTGGTGCAAAGGGTAGATCGATAGTGAATATTGGTATGGCACAAGCACCGTCCAGTTGTGGTCCATTTACCCAACCGCACTATTGCAATGCAAATGCACACAGTGAGTATGTTTACTGCTTGGGCACGTTGAATCTCCAGTTCCTAGGTGGCGAAATGAGTCTTGGTGGCTATGACCGAGGTTTAGCTATGCTGGCGTCAATGCTGGTTGAAGAAAATTGAGTCCTCAAAAAGAAATCATAGTGGCTTCCATCCCGGTGTCCCTCGGTTCCACTGGTTCCCAGTTACATCGAAGCGTAAGTAGGTGGGAGAAGTTGAAGGCGATAGAAATCAAAGCTACTCCTAATTTCGGAAGGTTTATAATCTATATCTGTTTGGTGTAAGTTGGTATCATGGTTACGTTTTGCTTTTGAAGCAAAGGTACCTGCGTATACTTAAACTTTCTAAATTACAAACATCTCGTCCATTCCAAGCATATTCTGATTTATTCCGCGAAGCTTGTTCCTTTCTTGGCGCGCTGTCTACCGTCACAGAATGAACTAGGTGAACTATGCGTACATATTTGTGCCGCTTTTCATAACATCATCTTATACTTACTACACACGTAATTTGTCACACAAGCATTGACTAGAGATTGCCACTAGTCAGCTGACAGTTTTACTATCTGTATTGACAATCGTTTTTAAGCTACAGCCAGCACACAATCAATACCCAAATACTCTACAACTCTACACTAAGGACAACCAACATTACAAAGCGTTCCTTAGCGGGTTTCCTTCTGTTCTTGTGGTAGTACTTGTGGGAGCAGCAAAATACATCTATGGGACTACATACTTCTACTTCTTTGCGACATCCAAGAACGACAGGGTATTATTTCTAAATCCAGCATATAAAAAGTGCTTCTACACGCATAAGCTTTAGTGAATCCTGACATGAACCCCGCAGGATTGCGCGTCCTGAACGTGTCCATCACCCACCAGAGTGGCGCGTTTTCGGGTTTCTATCCTGATGCGATCAGGTTGCCATAGTAACGGCTAACGGGAAAAAGCCGGTGGGAATATGAAAGACAACCAACGCGTATGCTGTGCCTCACACGGCACACACACACTCGGCACAAAGCGGCGTCCGGAGGATGGACATGGGTCTAGTGGAGAACAAGAAGTACGCGGACCGAGATATGCATCATAAAACCGCGCGGCCGGAGAATTACAGTGAATTTAAACACGGGGTTACGTAATAACGATAAGGGGTGGAAGTACACGACAAAGGTTAATACTCCAATAGTCTGTCTTCTGGTCTACTCACTTTGGGTTCTACGGAAAGCATATGAAAAACAAAAGTAACAGTAGGAAAAGTTAACAATGAAAGTAGATTTTCCCAGTGGCGCTACAAAATAAAGTACAATGCAAACTGAACTATGACTTATTACGGGTAAATAGCAGTTCCTTGACAAGTCCCACAGGATAACAGGGGTAAAACTGCAATATCAAAAGACATGTGAGTTGCTTGTTCAAGCGTCAATCGAGCAGATAGGCCGCTGAATAATAACAGTGTAAGTGTGATTTGAATGCGTACAACGAGGCAACATGGGGACAGTTATAGTTGACGTAATCCGTGTGAAAAGTAAAAAAAGAGTTCTCATTTCTGTGCTACCTCCTCAGATTTATGTGTAACAATAAGCTGGCTTGAAGGGTTAATTAATACGTTCCAATTAGAGCAGTATGGACAGCGATGTGTTGGGGCTAAGGGCGATTCAATCGTTTTTTGAAAATAGCCAAGTTGAAGGAGGAAACACCTGGGTTTGAAGAAAACTTGCAGGATTGGCAAACAGGAAGAGAAAACTAATTCGCCGGCATTTCAGACGGCCATAGGTTTGGCTCAGTTTCAGACAGTTACCTCTGAGATTCGTGTTATGGCTGCATTTCAGCAAGCGCCGATATCTGTGATTACAGTCACTCAATATTTCATAACGAATTTGAGGTCGCTGCACCACCTTCGGTAACGGCCACTGAAAACGCCAAGTGATTGCAGCCTTTGCTGGTAAGACGAATTTCGTAGACCCTTTACGTTCTATGTAGCCCCGCGTTTTTGAATCTTTAGCTTCGCCTAGTCGCGCTTCAACCAAGGATTCCAAGCTTGGATGACGCATTCAGCATGAGGGCGCGGGTAGGAGTGCTGCGTCATTGGGAAAAATAATGGGTCAACACTCTGGAACATCATCCGCAGCAGGCCGATATTTTTGTTAGCTCTTTTCACAGCTGATTCAGCCTTGTTTGAAGAGTTAAGGTCATACTGAATGAGCACACCAAAGTCGTGTTCCTGGGACGTAGTATGCATTACATGTGACCCAAGCGAATAGACCTAGTCATGTCGATGACGTACTTGAACCACGCGACATTGTTCCACCTTGAGTGGCAGGCTATTATGAATTGACTAGTTCGAAATCGTGCTGAGATCCCCCTAGAGCTCTTCGCGGCTCCCTGATCCCTAGTCATTTCTTAATATCAGCTGCGAAGAATAAATTATCGGAGGTAATTGATCTCGATAGATCGTTTATGAAAACCAAGAATAGACGAGACCCTAGCACCGTCTTTGGTGTACACCGCACTCTACCTCAATTGCTTTGGCCCGGGATCCTCGTACTTTCACTTCCAACCGACCTTCATTCAGGAAATTGCCCATCTAATGCAGTGTGAGTCTCCAATGCCATAGATTTGAAGTTTATGGAGGAACATTCGCTGGTCTTAGTAATCAAAGACTTTGGATAGATCCAGGTAGATGACATCGACTCCTGTTCCACCATCAACTGCTTCAGACCGGCTACTGATTGCCATTGAAAGGTTCGTAGTGCAGGAGTAGTTATGTCGGAAGCCATGTTGCTCCGGGGCTTTTATACTGTGGTTTTCCATATACTGCAAAGTGTATCAAACATGGTAAACCCATATAAGTATGGAAAGCACAGGAAGCCGCGTTATCGGACGGTAATTAGTAGGGTCAGTGCGGTTACCTCCCTTAGGAAAAGCGGGTATGACCCTTAGCTTCCATATTGATGGAATTCGGTTCTACTCTATACAGTGCCAATGGAATATATCCAGAGATTTCGCCAGACCACTGGCAGCTGCCTGTAGAGCCCTCGGTCGAATGTTATCGACATCAAAGGAACTGTGGATAGGCAGCTTATTCAACACAGCTTTTCCAGCAAACGTAACATTGGATAAAGCTGTCAACGGGACGATAAAATCACGGATAAGTACACTGTTTAACACCATTTATATGACAGAAATGAGTTAGGGTGTTGCCAGTAGCACCAAGTGAGCTGATTACAAATATGCAAACCAAATGTTTCTAGCACGTCGGGTATTTGTTTAATTGCAGTTTTAAATTTCAGCTAAGCAGTGCCTTCCGTGCATCGAATGCTCGCGTGTGACTGGTCCGCTGGTCACTTGTAAATACAGTCGATTCCGGTTAATCGGACCACATCGGGACCAGACCATTTTGGTCCTATTAAGCGGCTGGTCCTAGTAACCGAAGTTACCCGATGTAACAAGATGGGGCGTGCTATACATAACACTGGAAACTACTGTTATGACCTGTATCGACGGCATATATTTATAGCAAACACACAAAAAAGAACTGCTTTGATAACGAACTTTGTTCACTGA